AGTACTTTTTTGTAGGAGCTCCCCGGCGATCATTTCCCACTTTATTCTAACAGCAATGATTATACTATTGCATTATTAATAACAATGTTAGAGATTTGTAAACAAATATTTAGCTTGATTAATAACCCATTATTTTTTCCTTTGATGCCGAGAATATTCACTGAGCATGATTATACCAATTAATAAATTATGTTAACAAAACAAACGGTTCGCTGTTCTGTCAATAAGTATTTAATGTATCAGATGATTTATTAATGACAATTCGTTATTTTTCACAATGCTTCAAATATCATAACACTCAGAATCTAAACTAAGTTATTTTTATTATTGAGTTCTGAGTGATGCTGAAATTGGTTTTTATTGAAAAAATGATTTAAACTCCAGGTTCAAGAGGTCAAATTTGGTGGTACCAAAAGGAAGGTCTTGTAAGAAGCAATACACCTTTTAAATATAAAACCAATAGTACAGTCCAGTCACAAAGTAAGGACAAGGTTAAAACAGACAAACAGATTAACAGACATACAGATAAACAGAAGGCAAACAGACGGACAATGAGGACAAAAAATATAAAACTCCGAACCTTCGACTACGGGGCGTAAAAAAATAAAATTTCCCCATAATTACCAGGTAAATCAAAATATTCTTTTTATGCAGGACATCATCTTACCAAATCAAGAAATGTATTAAGTATTGAATTCAAAACTTTTACACACCTTGGGAATCAATGCCATAAATTACATGAACATGAACTGGAATCGAATCTAATTTTATCCAAAAACTCTAGGTCAAAACAAGAGTTATTGTGAGCACTGAGCTCACTAAATGATATTTCCGCCTCCCATATTGTTATAATGGCAAGGACCATGTTTGACTTTGAAAGACTCGTAATAAGTGTCAGATGAAAAAATAAAATAGGAGGTACTCAACGACATTATGAAATAAAGAATCTGTGAAAGTATTACTATCATTCTAATATCAGCGTGTCACTTTGCTTGATCGAGTGTGCTAAAGTTTTACATGTTGATTACCGTATTACTCATCAATTGGATGTTTCATTTCAATGAAGGCAAAACAACTTTGCATATGAAATACAGAACTCAGCAATATCACTAACAATACTGACCAATCGTATTAAATGTTTGTTCATGAATATGCAGTAAACAATTATCACATATGGACGGGCAAAGCAAGTTTTAATCCTCATAATGATGGAATTGATCGCTATATATATCTTATATATAGTGTAATTGTTTCAAAGTATAGCATTTCTTATCTCATGCTTTAAATTTTCTCATGCGTATCAAAATTAACTCCATTCAGTCAAATCACACTAAAAAAGATGACACGTTTTTCGTAAGACAGTAAACAGGCTTTGAGTGACCACGTTTTGCCGGTGACTACAAATGCCGCGCTGGAAAACAATTATTCAAAACGATTGTTCAGTGTTATCTGGGTATTGTTAGATTCTATGCAAAGTAGCATTGGCTTCAATAAAGGCAAACTTCCAATCAATGAATGATATGGTAATCAATTTGTGAAAGAGGTTGGGTGGATAATGATGACGAAGTGCCTATAGTGCAACAGATATTAAATGAAAAATTTATCTCAATTATATCCAAATTTTGTTTGATATTGAATATCAAAGTCCATAAAACAATACAAAATTAAACAGAGCAAACACGGACCCCCAAAACAGAGGCGGGATCAGGTGCCATGGAGGAGTGAGCATCCCCTGCCGACCGGTCACACCCGCCGTGTGCTCCTAGTCATGATCAGGAAATAACGGGAAAAAATCAACCAAAAAAATTCGTCTTATATTAAAGTATACTTAATGTAAAATCTCCACAATTTACAAACATCTCACAAAGACTGAGAATATTTGCCTATAAAAAAGCTACACACACTAAAAAGAACAAACGGTTATTTTCTGATACTTTAACATTTTTTTTATCAGTATGAGTGGGCCTTCGCTCCATTTTTTTTTTAAAGATAATCCTAAAAGTTTGCAATAAAATATACATTTTTGGGTTACAAAAACATGGAACGAAGATCCACTTTACCTTAAAAGTACATTTTTATAACAAAACATTCGCATCTTTCCGAGAAATATTTTAAGTCCATTAAGTCAAGGGTCATATCATAAACATGATTCAAATGCCCAAAATCATTTTGAGCCATGAAACATAGTGGTTAGCGTGTTAAAATTAGTCTCAAAGCAGTGTGATACGTCGAATTTTTATTGCAAGGGGTTTGAATCCCATGAAAACCAATTTTTTATAAAAGAAAAAAATACGAGATTCTTTTTTCTCATAACTTCATAATTTTCAATAATCAGAAGTTAATTTAAATACTCAATTCAAATATTGAATATGATTTCTTAATATCCGACGCTATAGGCATTCTGCCCGCCTTGTTTATATAACTATAAAAAAGAAAATCAATTTCTGAGAATTCATGAGATGTTTCAAATGCAACGCTTCATGTCGGCAATTTCATCATGAAGCGCTATGCTGACTTGAAGTGTCACAGTTCATGTCCTAGTGAATTCTCCAAAATAATATGTATTTCAATTATTGCTTAGGGAGTATATAAGTGTATACTATTCCTTGATTGTCTGTAAAAACGTCTTCACCTGTTTTTATTTTGTATTATCTTATCCACGACAAGAATTTGTCTTTCCAGCAGTTTGTGTAATTCCGAATTGATTCGTAGTCTTTTAACTTCACAACCTAACAAACAAATAGCAATTTTTCACTTAATGTGCAAGGAGGCGATCAAGCATAAAACTGAAAACCTACTGAAGCATATTGTTATAAGTTGTTATAACAAATTACCACTTTGTTATAACCAATTAATAATTTGTTAAAACAAATTAGTAATTTGTTAAAACAAATTATTAATTTGTTAAAACAAATAAGTAATTTGTTATAACAAAATTACTAATTAGTTATAACAAATTAATGATTTGTTGTTTCAAATTGATAATTTGTTATAAGAAAATGATAATTTGTTAAAACAAATTAATAATTTGATATTACAAATTACTTATTGATATAACGAACCACTATTTTGATATACCAGTTAGTAATTTACTAACTTGTTATAACAAATTCATAATTTGATATACCAAGTTATACCAAGTTAATATTTTTTTATTACAAATTATTAATTTGAATACACAAATCAGTAGTTTGTTAAAACAAATTACCATTCTTGACAAAATTTGAAGTGTATACAGATCTAAAAAAGCCAGATCAAATCAGAAATCTTAGTATAAGACAGATTTGTGAAAATTATTTGCAACTGTGAGTGTGTTTGGCCAATAATAAAGCTTTAGTGGGACTATTGAGAGCTTTTCAGGCAGACAATTTGCTTAAATTATAAAAATTACACATATACATAAAGCGTTTATTAACACAAGATATTCAATATTAAATTTTACTAAGGGCTATCCCCTTTAGAATATAGTGGGTTTTTTGTTTCTTGTGATTCTTTTTTTCGAGAGAGGTTGTTATGGAATATATATTGTTTTTTCCCTAAAAATTTATCTGCAAATCAATTTTTGTCAATGTTGCCTTTGTTGCCACCAGTGTAATATGGGACAATGGAGGTTCACCACAGGAGCAGATCCAGGATTTTGTATATGAAAGTGGAGTTTAGTTTATAGTTTTTATTTCTTATACGTGAATTGAGTTGAACAGTAGGTATAAATGCCTGTCAAAAAGCAGTATATAAAGTAGCTCATGTCACATGTATAGAATGAATCAAGAGAGAGAGAGAGAGAGAGAGAGAGAGAGAGACAGAGAGGTAAAATTAACATAAAGAAAACACAAATATAACAATATATATTTAAACATTTTGTTGCATGCCTTAAATAAGATAAAAAAATTCCTAGCGTACGAATTGGGTGCAATGACCGAACAGAGCCGGAAGGGGGAGGGGGGGGGGGGCATGTATGGACACTGTTTCATTGAAGCTTTTAAGAATAAGCTATAAGGAATGGAACCAAGGATTTTGATATTTATCATGACATTGATGTTTAACAGTGAAGCTCTGAGCTGCTAAAAGAAGCATATTGCTCAAAAGTTCTGCAGTGCGTACGATTATTGTTTCACGAATTTAATATTTTAAAGATTTCCGATCTGATATGGATTCCATAGTTCTGTTTACACGTCAAATGTCCAAAAATAGTAATTTGTTTAAACAAATTAATAAAAGATACTGGTGCGGCCCTAATACGCTTCCATTTTTAAACCTCTTTTGACAGCATTTCCAAGACGATTAATTAATATCCTTGTAGAGTTAAGCCCAAAATGTTGAGTTTGATGTGATATTTAAATAACATTTATTGATAATAATTACAGATATTCTTCCTTCGGATTTACTATTCGCATAGTACATGTATTATGTCTAGCGGGGGTTGGGGTGGTATTTAAGGACATGTTACTGTGTGACCATCGTCTCAAGCCACGGTCCGGAGTCCGCATATACATATGATATAGCTCTCTCCTACCCGTGGCTGCTTGATCACAGAAAGTGTCGTAATCTTGAATATGTACGCCTCTTTATTGTGACGTCATATTCAGTCAATAACAAGTTTTGTTTCCATTGCAATCGAAATCAACAACTAACGTCAACAGTATAAAAGACATATTTCGGACACTGCGATTGATTATTAAAAGGTCACATCAAAGTTCATTATCCGACTATGCTTTACTCGCATTGGTCAATATTTTAATGAACTACGAGAAATTCTCTTCTCATTCAACCACAGCCAGAATGGGAGAGGATCGTACATTTTGGCCGTGGTTTGCGACGATGTTGTGTGACTTGCTAGAATACATTAAAAACAATATATATTTCCTTTACAATTCCTTTTATTCAGTAAATAATAAATACACAAGTACCGAATAGCGGTTTTACTCACAGGTTTCTGCATTATTCAATGGTTTGCTTGATAATTGTTGACCTTATGATTTTTAATACAATTTGTATTATATTTAGTCTTTTTCACATATGTATGAATACATCTCGTGACACGGGGTTGTTCCCCAAATCCCGTCACGACAAAGATGTACACAGTCCTGGTCGCCAAGGTCATCAGGTTCATCCGGATGCCAGTCGGAATAGGAAGTGACGTTGTTGTTGTTTTCTGTCCAGACAAATAGGTTCTCCTTGTCAATATCGTTGGCACCTATCCAATGTGAACAACAAATCCACCAAGGGTTACATCCAGCTGAAAAATGTGAATTAACGTTAAATAATAAGATAATTACGGAAGCGTAATAGTTCCACTTGCACACTTAATTTTTTTTTTATTTCTATACTTAAATCTTTCAATTATGCACTTTAACCTGTAAAGTTTACACTTTAATCTGTAAATTTTAACAATTTCATCTGTAAAATTTTCATATTTTTCTGTACATTTTACACTTTAATCTGTGAATGTACACTTTATCTGACAAATTTACACTCTATTCTGTAAATTGTACACTTTATCTGTAAAATTTACACTCTATTATATTACACACTTGAATCTGTAAATTTTACATTTTAATCTGTAAATTTGACCCTTTAATCTGAACAATCTGCACTGTAATCTGTTATAATGAAATAGTCGTTTCGGGATGTTATTCCTATGACATTGAAAAATGGATAAAACTGAGATGTTCACACTTTTCTGCATAATTGTATTTTACATTTACATTTTTATATGACAAATAAGGATGTGCGATTTACGCATGGGCCTCGTAATTTCCCCCAGCAAAATATCGAGAATCTGCTTTACATTCAGTAAATTTCTTTTAAATTAGTTGAACTATAGTGAGATGAAAAATAAAAAATATATATCTCGAGGATTTTTTTCTTATTCAGTTATTTGCACTTAAGATTGATATTGCAAGTTTATGGCTCTATGATCATTATGATATAAAATATAACATTCAAATTACTGTCAGTTTTGAAAGGTTGCAATAAAGAAACGTCATTGAATCAAATGATATAAATTCCTTTGCTGTTCCAAATTTATGAAAACTCATATACTTTAATTATCTATATACATGATATATGTATATACTTTACTAATTTATGATTATTCAAAATTTCAATTCCAAAAGTATTTTAATTGTTGTCGGTAATAGTATAGATGTATCATGTAATACAATTAATGCTTTTAATAATTGAACTGCTAAGCGCATTAAACGAATTTGCGTATGATGATATCAATATTATATTCCTTAAATGCATTTGTATTTGATTTGCTCTTCACTAATGTTCTAAGAAAGTCTTACTTGTATCAGTCATACTACTTTGTTTACTATTTGCATTAAGTGTTAAATAAAAAATCAGAATTGAATTTTATCATGCATAATTCAAGGTTCGTTGGCTTTAAAATGTGATACTTACGATGTATTAAGTTGCCATATTAATGTAAATTGAACAGATAAATGTACATTTTACATTTTAAAGTGTAAATTATACACTTTAAAGTGTAAAATTTACAGATTCATATGTAAATTTTACAGATTAAAGTGTAAACTTTACAAATTAAAGTGTAAATTATACAGATAAAGTGTACAATTTTCAGATTAAAATGAAGAATAAAAAAATTAAGTGTCCACGTAGCACTAAAACGCTTCCGTAGTTACTTAAATGATATTTAGTGGTGGATTAGAACTAGCATTTGTAAAATAATTGATTTTCGCGGGTTTTGGTTTCGTTGTTTACGAGGTTATGACTCACGAATTCATGTCCACCACAAAATATGAAATTTCATATAGAAAACTACTCAATACTTACCTATCCACGAAATCAATTCCCAACAAACCAGTAATAGTATTATCAAAATAGGCATGGAACAGTCATCCGAATACGACAAAATGATTTGATTGCTACAAGTAGGTCATAAAATTTTAAATGATATCTACATAACTAATCCATCACTGACTATCATCCAATATCCAATTACCCACTGAATAGTATCCACATGAATGATATAATTCACCACTGAATATCGTACAAAATCAATATCCTAATTCAATTTACGATAATAACTATGCAACTGAAATATGAATACAGTTTACGGACATCAAAGTATACCTTGTGTATTCCTAGAGGAGTCCTAGAAGAGTAATTAAGAACTCTTGTACAGCCGTTTCGGAATTCATTTGCAAGAATTATTAACTTATAGGTATAGGTGCATAAATTCATAATTATGTGTCCAGGAAATAGAAAATAGAAAAAACAGTGAACATTTGCACTTCATTCAAAAAATTAAAACACAAGGACCTAGATGGACATATTTTAGCTACATAAAATAAAAATAAATTATTATTTTATGTAAATTGCTTAATCTAAGCGCCAAATGGGAATAAATCGACATCTTAAGTACTCTAAGTTTAATCCATTACATTATAACAGCCAAGCAGATAGTTAAATACAAACAAACAAACAAACAAACAAAATGTACCAGGATCCAAGACTGGCAGAAAGGTTTCTGTTAACCATGTATTTTCTTCTTCCGTTTCTATGGTAACCAAATAGGCCCCTAGTTTTTCGCACTCATACTGAAATAGACAAGAGGATTCATATTTTCAGTAGGCACAATATTAAATCTTTGCATTTAATTTCATGAGTGTGTTTAACCTTCAAACGTTTCATAACGCCAATTGATTTATCGTTTTTCTATGTTCCTAAAAAACATTTGGAGAACATTTATAGGAGAAAAGTTATACCAATGACATTCCTAGAAACGCCAGACATATTGGTTAATTGACGGAATTTTTTGTTAAACCACCTCCTGTTTCAAGTTATCAAAATATGGTACACGTATATGCATTTTATGAAAAAAATTAAAGTCAAGAGGGTAGATCTATCCTCCTGTTTCATGGAACCAAGAATCATGTTTCCTTCTTCCTGTCAAAAAGGACAAAGCCTGAAATAATTTAAGAGATACATGTATATAATTCTAACCTTAGCATCCCACCAATTGATGCTAGTCTTTATATGTAAGTAACTATGCATTCCATACGACAGCCAACCTTCTCCTATAAACAAAAAAATGTAGCAGTTTAAAGTTACTTTAAATCTTTTAAATCTTTTCTTTTTATTGTTGTTTGTTAAGGTGATAGAATTTTATTGTAACATAACAAAACTTTGTAGATTGAAAATGAAATTTTTTTTTTCTGAATCGGGATTGTACACTTGAAACAAAATTAGAATGTCTATTTGTATGACGATATATTTGATATATATATATATCATATACCCGGTATACATTTCATAAATGCGTGAACTTAAATCCATCATCGGAATTCTTTCTGTCATAACTAATTTAACATACTTATAATCAACTCGACTATGTCAAATTCCAAAAAGTTGTCATACATGTATATGATGAATAAAATTTGATTTACCAATTAAATTTGACAATATGGTTTATTGTTTTAAAATATTACTTTAAAATAAATAATCAAAGTTCTAAATAAGTCTTTCTTATGCATGCAATTACGTCTTAGCACATTGTTGTTATCAAAGTTATGTACCTTTCAACACTGCTGCGAAATACCTCCACCCTGTTTCGTAATCACTTAAAAACAAATCCAACGAATCACACGATTTAGAATAAAGATGGCACGTCTTTCTCTTGGAGTTGTAGGCAAAACAATTACAGTCCTCCCCACACATAGCGGAGCACTGAGTTAGAGAGTCAGAGTCATGCAGCGACAGAAGAGAATCAAAAATTTGTATGTCATCTAAGAAGGTATCCGCGGTATAATAAGACTGGAGGAGGGTGGCCCTTGTCCATGTCAACACGGAACACAGAATCAGGCAGAGGTTGTATCCAAGTATTGCTACTTAAGATTCAAAGTATAAAATTAGCAATAGTTATTAATTGCAGTTTTAATTAAGAATCTTCGAAAGTAATTAAATTGCATAAAATTAGCAATAGTTGTTAAATTGCAGTTTAAAGTAAGAATCTTCGAAAATAATTAAATTACAAGAAGTATTGTCAAATACATTTTCATAAGACCATCCGTAAAAAAATGTTTTTTGCCCTCTCCTGACAGATTGACTAAATGGCCAGACTCAATTTTTTTTTTTACATTCCAGGACACTTTATCATTATTTATTTTTATTCCTCTTCTCCCATCCATAAATATGTTGAATTCTTTTGACGAAAAAAACTTTCCCACTTACCATCCGATTAATAATTTACCTTGATTCGGGAGAAGGCAATTAAATGATATTTTTAACAGCAGGATAATGTTCAATCATTACTTTTCCTGAATGACAACTATTCGTGGTCACTTTTCACGAAATTATTTCCCAACAAACGTTTTAATGTATATCTATTCGAGGAATCTTCCGAAAATAAGAAAAAAATTTAATTAGCAACAAAATTATATCCCACGAACCAACAAAAAATTGCTTACCCACGACCATTGCCACTCCTGTATTTCATAAATATGTTCTTTATGAAAGATTAGTACCTAGACAATATGACCTTCATGCAATTGTGATACCGCTCGTGCATATCCTTAATTTATTATATATTTTTTGTTGCCTTATTTGAATTTAAAAACTTAAAAATGCGTCCTTATTTACCTTTCAGAATTCTACAAATGCTAAAAAGTCAATTAAAATGGATTCTTCAACGTTTATTTACACAGAACTTCATTGATTATTTATGCAATAACTTAAATAATTCTTAGTATTGTAGGTAACAACAAAGGGACAGGTTATAGGTTTCTTGTTTATTTTAGAAAACATCGCAATTTCCATTGACCCCTGAGAATTGTGCCAATTTACTCAGTCAATCTTTAAAACAAGAAATTCTAAAATATTAATTTTTATCTCGGAGAGAATAAAGAGTGATCCATCAAATCAGGCTATAAATATTTGAGATAAAATCTTTTAAATTATTTTCAGCTGAGTAATGATCACGAAAAATATTTAATGACATTTCAGTGACTGAATCCCTGAGTCAAAAGTTCAACAACTTGCCATAGATTTGTCATGATTTGGGCCGTTGGTATGGGTCTGGATAACTCAGTCGGTAGAGCACCTGACTGGTAATGTAGTATTGTAGTCATGTAGGGTCCCGGTCCTGCCACACATTTTTTTCCCTCTCCTGTTATATATTAATGAATCATATGGAGGTAACAGACAGCTAGTATTCAAGATCAAAAGTGCATAAAAAATACAAAATAGGAGCAGAGCAAATAAAGACCTCCAAAAAATAGGAGATGGGATCACTTCGAAACAATTTTGATTGATGATTGTATATTGTTTAACGTCCCTCTCGAGAATTTCGCACTCATATGGAGACGCCACAACTTTTTTGTTTGAATGCAGTTGTGTTCTGGTGCAAAGCCAAAAGTTATGATCAAGGTAAAAGTGCTTGATGAAGAATATATGGAGATAATGAACAGTATTCAATATCAAAGTCTATAAAATAATACAAAATAGGAGCAGAGCAAACATGGACCTCTAAACCATCAGAGGTGGGATCAGGTGCCATAGAGAAGTGATCATCTCCTGCTGACCGATAACACCCGCCGTGTGCTCCTTGTCATGATCGGGAAATAACGGAAAAATCCATCGTCATTCAGTGTATAAATAATTGACTAACAGTAAGTGAGAAAAACGTCAGTGAGCATTTGACTCGATGATAAATTAAGTACAATTTTATTCCTTAACAAATTATGCCAGAAATTAAGCTTATCATTTGGTGTCTCCCCAGAATGTTATCAGAAGAACAAGGTCAAGATTCAATACAAATTCAGCCTTTTTCTATGATATAAAATTATATTACATGATATTTATTATATGATGTTCATGTAAGAAATAAAACTTCATACAAATCAGTGCAATAATAGCATACAATTTATCCTCCTTAATGTTAATTGTAGAGTCATGAACCTGTGTCTCGTCCCGTATTTTCCAATACAGTTGAGGCAGATATCGATTTTCAAAGAATTAAAGATAAAAAAATCAAGTGCGGGGGAAAAGGGAAAGAGAAAATATTTTCTTTACTCAATTTAGCATGTACCATGAGGTACACGTAATTTGAAAAGACCTATAAAAAACACCTTTAAAATCTAATATTTTGAGATATCTGACACTTGAGAGATGCCATTCCATGCTCCTCCTTCAAGATATATTCTGTAAAGATACACAACTTGTTTTTAAATCAATTTTAGCACATTTTGAAAACACTAATTTTGCAGGGCATAACAAAGCCGAAAACTGTATTGACCTATACAAACTTTACTTTTTTTAAATTTAATAAAGACCAATAGTTACTATTTAGTTTCTAAATAATCTACTCATACAATTTCCATTGAAATAAAATGAGATAGCTTTATCAATATTTGGAAAGCAGTAGTTTATATAGGTTTAAACACTTTTCTTTACTCGAAACTTAAAACATGTCTCTATGCTTCCAGGGCACAAAAGGAAACTGTTTGGATACATATAAAAAAAAAGTTGTGCTTTAAGGTGTATGGACAAAGAATTGAAGTTAATATTTTCTGTATAATATCACGACTTATATATTTTAATAGCATTTCACACAAAAATATAAAAAAAATTATTTCATCTTAAAGTTATTGAAACTTCAAATTTTGGATGAGTTTGATTTACACATCCTTGCACTCTCACAAATTTTACTTTATTCTTAATACTTAGGAAAAATGGCAATATTGTTGTGTATTAATGAAAAATATTAAAACTTAATCCAGAAAAAAAATTATATTCAAAGTAGAAATGTTAGAAAGCAAAACCCCTTTCACAAGTATCGTCATTCCGCGCTAATGTTGTGTACAGAGTTTAGCAAACTTATCGCACCCGTGAAAGGTACAGTTTTCGTAAACAGGGCACGAGGTCTGTTATTGTGGATGTTTACGATTCACCAGGTTGTTCAATTGTTAAAGTCTGCTCATCACAACTGCACGGACTGACAATATACTGTGTGTATGTTTTACTTTCGAACATTTCTACTCTGAATTTTCTGGATTATAGTTTTGATATTTTTCATTTATACACAACAAGATTACCACTTTTCCTGAGTATTAAAAATAAAATTAAAAATTGTGAAAGTGCTAGGAAATGTCAGTCAAACCCATATAAAAATTTGATGTTTTAATAACTTTCAGATGAAATAAGTTTTTTTCTATATATTTTTGAGTGAAATTCTACTAAAATATGTAAGTCGTAATATACATAAAACATTAACTTCAAATCTGTGTCCATGCACCTTTAAGTACCAAAAAACACAAACACACACATCCTCTCTTACACGCATTTTGAGTAAAGCAAACAAGAAACTCGAAAAGGTGGGATAAGGTGACATCGAGGATTAAGTATCCTTTCTCATATAAAATACATGTACAGCTCCGTGCACTTTATAACTCGCGTGGTTTTTCGCACAAATTAACGTCACATTAAGATGTCGCGAAATTCTGCAACGAAGCATCAAAATATATTTTATAACTTATCAATTTTATAACTTAATTTTAATTTCATTTTGTGAACTTTTAAACATAAATCACACATATTGTTTATAGGATTTTGATGTGCTTATAGTTTATGACAGTTCTAAAATGGCTTGTAATGCTTTCTCATCAAATGCAATTGTCTGTATATCCGTTTTTTAAGCAGTCTTTGTCTAGACACAATAATATTGCAGCTAATGTAATTTCTATATTGTCTGTACATTAATTGAATCTAAAGCCCAAGATGATAACAGTATTTCACCTACTTACATGTAGCTGCTTTCCACGTTAAAAAGTTGATATTTTCTCATATCTAATTTCCGACATCTAGCATCATCAAAGATACTTCCCACCGCAAAATTTCAAAGTTTCTGTCGTTTATATAAAGATTTTCTTAGATTGTCTGAATAATATCACGACTTATATAATGCTACATGTACAGCATTTTACACGAAAATGTAATCTAAGAAATAATGTACTACGAAAATTAAAAGAATTCTGGGACTCGTTTGATAAACTTATCCTTGCTATTTCACAATTTTTTTCTTTATCTTTAACATTTAAGAAAAGAAGCGATTTTTTGTGGTAATGAAAAATATTACATCATCTATAATCCAGAAAATTCAGAGTAGAAATGATCGACAGCAAATCCTTCTCACTAATATAATTAGCCAGTGTTTCGTGCTCTGTACAGAGTTTAACAAAATTGAATATACCTGCAAAACGTTAAATGATTCTGTTAAAAGCACAAGAGCTTTGTTATTGCTAATGTTTACGATTCACCGGATGTGTTCAACTGTTAAACTCTGCACACACCGACTGTGAGTGGGTTTTGCTTTCGGACATTTTTAATCTGAATTTTCTAGATTATAATTATATTTTTCATTAATACACAACCCAATTGCCATATTTCTTTAGTGTTAAGAATTTTTTTTTTAATGTGAAAGTGTAAGAATAAGTCAATAAAAGGCGACGGAAATTCGAAGTTTCAATAATTTCCGAGCTTATATTGTCCCCCGCTTTCTCGAAAGCGAGGGGACATTAAATCTCATTCGTCTGTTAGTCTGTATGTCCGTCCGTCACAAAAACGTTAACCTTTCCCATAACGTTTGATTTAATGGGGTTATGGCTTTTATATTGCAGAAGCATATTTATAAGGATGAGACATTTCTTTGGGTACCACAAAATTTGACATTTTGACCTTGGAGTTTGACCCACTTGTACGCAAAAATTCCAAATTTTAACTTTGGTCGTAACTTTTGAACGGTAGGTACTAGGACTTTCATATTTCAAATATATATTCTTTGTGGCAAGACAGACATTTCACTGAATACACACAACTTTGACCTTGACCCTGGAGATTTCCGTACTTATGGAAAAACTTTGACCTTGACCATGACTGGTAATGGTAAGGGCTAGGATTTTTATATTTCACATATGTAATACTTGTGGCAAGACCTTTTATTGGATACCACCAAGTTTGACCTTGACCTTGGAGATTTCCGTACTTATGGAAAAACTTTAACCTTGACCATAACTTTTGAACGGTAAGAGCTAGAGCTTTCATACTTCACATATGCAATTTTTATGGCAAGCTCTTTCATAGAATACCAACAACTATGACCTTTAGTTTGACAAACTTTTAAAAACATTAAACCTTGACCATAACTTTTGAATGGTTTGGGCTAGGATTTTCATACTTCTTATATGTAATACTTGTAACAAAACCTTTCTTAAGAAACCAATAACTTCGATTTTTGACCTTGGAGTTTGATTTACCTTTCAAAAACTTATCCCTGGCCATAACTTTTGAACATATGGTGCTAGGGCTTTCAAAAAAATCAAATTTGGTGATAATTTCTAAATGACATATGCTAAGGCGTTCTTATTTGACAAAATATGCCATAAAAATGGCATCTCACCCACAAAGACACCGAAACGGTGGGCAACAATTCTTTAAATTTGCTTGTTATATTTTAGAATAAAATATTACAGCAACGTGTAAGTCATAAAATCATACAGAAAATTTGAGAAAATATGATCAAATCTGTATCCAAGCACCTTTAAGTCAATAAGCATCATGCAGCACATGCTAGCAAAGCAATTGCAATATAGGATAAATGATACAAACAGATTTTTATCAGGTCTTATTTTTTAAGGGGGATGTACGGCCACCTTTAGTGCTGTGAGAACAAAATGTAAACATTTCTTCAAATGGCTAAAATACATCATATTTTGATCAAATTTTAAGTCCTTATGATAAAGATACAATAAATATTCATAACTGAATGTATGTTGTGCATATATAATCTAGACTTTTGCAGAAAAATGCTTTTGATATGCTCCTTAGAACTGCGCAGCTACAGAATTCAGCAGAGCCTTAAAAAATCCAAAAAAATATGCAAACTGTGCATCAATGTTCTCTCTACAACCATTTGTTGAGAAAATGTCTAAATTTTGCACTTTTAAATGATAATTTCAAGTTCAAAACAAGGTATCGTTGTCTTCAAAAAGAGTGTAAAGAACCATGAAAGTAGTTCATGGATAGCAGCACGTGGTCTATTTTTAGCACAGAATTTTGTTTTCCAGACCTCTTCTTAATATGGAGGGACATAACAATCTTTAAATGTAGAAGAGAATTACAGTTGCAAAATATTTCAAATAGTATGAACACTTTTAAAAGAGGAAATGTGTTATAGTATGGCTTGAAGTAATTTATTTAGTATTATTATCGAACAGTTGTTAAATAATGTACTTATTGATATCAAAGAAAAAAATCTTAAACTCTTTGATTCCAGGTAAGGAAAAATGAGCACCATCAAAGTTAAGAATTAAGAGTTTGTAAGTTTGCCACAGATAACTTATAATATATATCAAAATTTTAATTATCACCAATGAAACACAAAGAAATTAAACACATAAGATCGATATGAATGACCTACTAGTACGAGGGGTGATCAAAAAGTTCGCGAACTATCTCTATATCTACAAAACCACAATTCAGATTAGAAACAAATTTGGTGCACACATAGCCAAACACAAGTTCTATAAAATAGCACATGCTGAATAAAGTTTTGCTCATAATGACGTCATTATGCAGGTTCTTGTGACGAAAAATGGTTGCCTCAGTGGAACTCGTTTAACAAACGACTAAAATATTTATGGTATATCTTAAAAATGCCTTTGAAGTAGCATATAAGAATTTGTTCATAGTTTATTAAGACAAATGACTTCCTACAAATTCAATCCATGATTGGATAGATCGTTTTAGTGGAGGAAGGCAGATGGTTAAATATGATACTTGTTATATTGCCCAGTGATATATTAGCAAGTTGAAAAGGGATGTGTTTTTAATTAAGCAATATGCTATCAAAGACCTCCAATTTACACTTTGAAAAATACTTGAATATTTCAACAATAATATAACTATCAAATACCTAAGATATATCGTTTACTTTTTGATCTACCCTCGTATACTCTGTCAAATAAACATTTACAATTTTGATTTTAGCGGAGCAACATTTGAAAAGGAATGAAATCATTCAGAGTGGGTTAGGAGATTTAATGAATAAAAAAACTTTTTCTATTTGCCCTTTTTGTCAAAATTACAATTTTACAGAGTAAAGGAAAAAAATCAACATTAATAAACATTTTATACCATCTTTAAAATGATGTTTGGTGGTCCTCCCAACTCAGGGAAAAATTATTGGGTCCGTATTTATAGGTGAGAAAAAAATTCCTAAAATTTTAAACATATTCGTTTACGGAAGAAAAAAAAACAACATGTAATATGATGTAAAAAAAATGAGTCGGGCCATTTCTATGCAGTAGATCGGGAGAGAGGGCAACCAAATATTTTTATAGCAAATTGTCTTATAAGGCTAGTACATGTTCCATCACATACTTAGTTATGCAAAATTTTAGAATCTTTGGCACTATTTTGAAAAACAAACATAGGATTTTTTTTGGGGTGGGGTGGGGGGTAGCCTCTCATTTTTTTTTTTGCGTGATAGACATAGCATATGCAATGGACTTTTCTTTGCACACATTGTGCTTGCTTCTTAATTTCAAAGAAACAACTCAATATATCTTATCAAGCTTCGTATGTTCAATGAGCGAGAGCTTACAATGTTGTCAACATAATGAGACATGATGCGTTTTTATGTCCAAACATTACACCATACAATGTGTGGTTCATTGCAAACAATCTAGCTATTTATTTGAGGTGCCTGAAGGAAATCCTATAACTGCCTATTTTTTCTATCTAACTGCTAAACAAAATAGACACATGTACCAACTTTTCGAATGTAAGACATGTAATTACAATTTGTTTTTCATGCACCGCATATTGTTTAACATTTTCAAATTAAATGCTAAGCATCCTCCTTGCAGTGCCCCATTTGAAAATAACTTCTATCGCCACAGAAAAAAGACCCGCCGTAATTACATATGTTTAGGACATGTTTTATCTTTTTTCTTGAGTTTTAAAGAAACCAATAAATCATCAGGACATGTTCCATGAAAAAATTAAATATAATCATGGTAATAAACGCATCTATCCACAGCAGATATATGCACATGCCAACCATGTGCTCAGTGGAATGATATTATCGAGGAAACTCGAGCTGTAAACAGAACAGATTTTCCCGATTTGCTGGAGTGGGGTTAAAATCGCTTTTTTTCATTAATCAGACGATGCAATGCAACAAATAAAAGTAGTGAGTAATATAACCTAATGATTATTACTTAGTAATGTCTTGTCTTGATGTTATTATGGTCGCATTTATTCTAAAACCAATGCTATTCGAACTTTGTGTGACAGAGGAATGGCGGACGAAATAAACACATGGTCTCAGGAAGACACCCATATGAAAAATCAAATTTTCAAGAATTATGGATAATGAAAAGAAAAAAGCGAAACAAATGGTTGTAGCCATATTATCAATGAATCAAACTAACACTATATTCAATGCATTTTTCATCTCATGAATGCTGTAGCTGCGCAGTTCTAACATGATTAATTTCCTCCTAATTAAAGTAAAATAAACTTAATTATTAACTGATTTTGGTCTCTAACAGTAGGTAATTAGTGCATTAGCACTTTGAGTAACTTTGGGCTAGTTTAGTAGAGTATTAAGCGCATTCTTGGTATTTCTTATTTTACACCAGACTAGATCCAATATGGCTTGTACATCCCCCTTAAGTAAAATGATCAAGTAAAATTGAAAAAGACTTGAATTCAGTTTAACTCGTCAATTTCACAATAATGTCTTAATAATTAAATATCACGTTATCTAAAACAAAAATAGGCCAAATATTTTAATACAGTGTACCAGACCAGAAACCCATATTTTTCTTTCTGTTTGTATCATCTGTCCTTGGGGACTCATTTAACATTGTGTATTAATGATGTTTATTTCCTAAAGGTCCTAGACGCATTTTTTTTCAGACACAAAAAAATCAGAATTAAAAAGTAAAACATGACTGAGTATCATGATTCATATCAATACATATTTTTATTTCTACCACACAGTGGTAACAATATTGTTGGACATAATTAACCCTAAGAGACCCCTTCCTCTGGATCGTCTTTGGTATCAGGAACTAGGACTGTCTCTCCAGATACCGGGTCTAGAGTCAGCTTCAGGTGAGTGTCATCAGGATTAGCCGTCATTATGTCCGGTGACGGTACTAACATTGGCATACCATTGGTTGGGTTTATAACTAATGTTAGATTTAGTGTTTCTATAGGTTCCTCTAGAAGATCCTGTGGTTCATCTGGTTCCTCCTTCATATCGTTTTGTTTTACTGCTTGGTTAGATGTTTCGACAACGGGCAATTGCATAGGTTCTTCTAAAAGATTCCTTAATACCTGTGGTCCGTCATGTTCTCCTTTTAAATCAATTTGTTTTACAGCTGGCTTAGATGTTTTGACAACTGGTAATTGCTTAGGTTCCTCAAGAAGATTTCTTAAAACCTGTGGTTCCCCTATTAAATCATTTTGTTTTACTGGTGAAGTTTTGACAATAGGTAATTGCCTAGGTTTCTGAACATTGGACCTTAGAATATTTGGTTTCTTAGGATGAACTGTCACATACTTAGCTTTCTGCACAACTGACATCTTTATTTTTCTATCTTGTAATTTCCTCCTTAATCTTTTTCGTTTTAATTCTCTCTTTGGCTTTAAATCAATAGGTTTGGGCTTTACATTTTGGAAACTTGGTATCTGTTTACTTAAATCTGATAGCTCACTTATTAACTTAAGCTGCTGCTGTTTGGGATTTAGGACCTCAACAGGCGTCAACAAACTGAAATTTGGCATCTGTCCGGACTCTTCATGATCAGACGTTTTACTTGTCTGTTTTCTAGTATCACAACAATCACTGGTAGATGGCTCATCTGTACATTTCACTATTGACTGTTCTCTTGTATCACAACAATCACTTGTTGGTGGTTCATCTGGACATTTCACTAACATGGGTTTACCACTAACTGGATCTATAGTCAGTCTAAGATTTATCAATGAAGACATGCCCTGGACACTTGGATTCCCTGAATCTGATCCTGATGACACTCTCGTCTCCATTTGTTTTGATTTCATGTCAGACGACCCCTGATTTACATTACCAAGGTCTGGTGCTGTTGTGGGGTATCTAACTAAACACGGTATTCCTGTATGTGGGTTTATGTCTAACATAAGACTAATTGGTGGCTTATCTTTACTTACATCTGGATTCACCTCTATTCCGTTCCCTGTTGTCTGCTCCACTGATTCAGCATTACCTTTACCTCTTGTACTTGTACTTGACTCTGCTGCTTCAGATGTTCGATTTATTGTATGTATTTGGGGTACTTCTTCTTCTACAGAAATGACATTTGAGTCATGTGATCCATATGTTCCGGTGGTATCAATTGAATTATTTTTATGTGATAAGGCTTTACTTGAAAGGTGACTCTTGAGGGCTCTAACTCCTTCTGTATTCAAAATCTTTGATCTCTTTTTACGTAAAAAGGATTTTGAAGACTTTGGTTTCTTTGGAGAAGATGGTTTGGGGAACTTTGATTTTGTTAACTCTGATTTTGACGAGTCTTGTTTTTCAGAACGTTTGGAACTCTGTGTGGATGCTGCTGATATCCTATTATCTGATAAAGATGATGTTGAAGATGTAAGATTATATGGTGAGGATGATTTTGAAGATATCAGATTACCTGGTGAGGATGATTCTGAGGTCTGTCTATTTGATAAGGATTGTTTGGAGTTTTTAACTGTAGAATTAACTGTAGATAGCAATTTCTTTTCCATTTGTCGAGGTGCTTCAGTCCTATCATTTCTGTGTAACTCATAAACGTTTAAAAATGTTTCCTTTTCCCTTTGTGGAAGTTTAAATAGAAGTTTCTTTTCTAGCACTGCCTCATGTTCATCACCTTTTTCCTTTTGAGATTCACTCACATTTGAAGACGTTTTACTATCTCCTTGTGTGATTTTCCCATTCTCATTACTCGTTTTTGTATTTGATGTTTTCCTATAATCATTGAGGCAACTGGTCCGAGTATTTCGTTGTTTAGTTGATCTATTTGTCGAGTTGTTTTCAAATGAAGATATATATTCACTGCCCTCTGAAACAGAGTCCAGGGTTTCTGGTAAAGGTACAAAGTTACCTCCCTTTGAAATAGAGTTATCTCTCCTTGACTCGGAGTAATCTCCCCCTGACTTCGGGAGTTGGGTCTCCGTTCCCAGTTCAGTGGACACTATTTTACATGGAATCGCACTGATAACTTCTTCTTCCTCTTCCTTTATGTAAACATCCTGAAACAGAAAATATTATCAACATTTAAAGTGATCGGGAGGTCGTGAGTTCGTATCTCCGCCGCGACTGACCTAAGTCAACAAAAAATGGGTAGCAACTGTTCCTTCGCCATGCGCTTGGCACTTTGAAATGAAAGTTGCGGGTCCTTCGGATGAGACCTTAAAAACCAAGGACCCATGTCAGCGGCAGGCATTAGCATGATAAAGATCCCTCACTGCTCAATGGCCCTGAGTGCCGGGTATAGGTCAAAATTTGAAGCCCTTCACCGACATATGGTGACGTCTCCATATGAGTGAAAAATTCTCCAGAGGGACGTTAAACAATATACAATCAATCAATCAACATTTAAATAAATTCAAAATTTTGATACCTTTCTAAGGAAAACAAAAATAGAGTCTGGTTCTTTGACAGGAAAACATTACACCCTTTCGGACAACATTGATTGTTCTGAACATATTGAAATTTAAAACAAGAGATGTTTGTTAAACACTTATGCCCCATCCCCCACAAATTGGAATTTTTCTAAGTCCTAAAGGGCATAACTCTGTCAAAAATGGTGCGACTGTACCCAAAACAGAACTTGACCTAGATATTCATCTGACTAATCTGTATACTAAATTCCATCTCAATGTGTGCAACCTCTCCAAAGAAAATGAACGGAAACTGAAAATAGTTGGAGTTTTTCTAAGTCCAAGGGGCATAACTCTGTCAATTATGGTGCGATCGTACCCAAAACAGAACTTGACCTAGATATTCATTTGACTAATCTATATACCAAATTACCAAATTTCATTTCAGTATGTGCAATGGTTGTGAAGAAAATAAACGGAAACTAAATGGACTGACAGACCGAACGACAGACAGCAGCAAAGCAATATGCCCTCCCTTCTTCGAAGAGGGGCATAAAAATGGACAAAATAAGCAATAAACTTGACTGATTAACTTTTTAACATTAGCTTTTAAAAGAAACCTAATTTTTTGTCATCTCTCTTTTTTATTCTGTAAAAAGGATATGAAGTTAGCAGATTAAATTGGCCTTTTTAAATTCACTTTCTGTTTCTGATGTTACTGTACACTTTACATAACATTACCCACCTCTTCTCCGCTCTCTGTGTCCGAGTTACTCTCTCCACTGCTGTCATCATCAATAGACTCAGCCCCGTCCTCCACTAAATGCAAACAAATACTGAGGAATGTGTTCAATATTTGTCAGATGTTTACACTTCATAAAAATTCTATTGCAAATTATCAATCATGTCTGCTGTCTTATTTATGTTATCAAGTATTAACTGCTTATTGCTATCAAATTCTGTATCAGACATTTACAATTCATAAAAATTCAATTGAAATATATCAATAAATTTTGACTTGTGTCTTTGTACAAACTAAATCGTGGACTTTTACAAGAAGCGCTGACTTTTACAGTTGACGAATTACTCTCACACTGGGACAGTGTATGGAAGCTCTTTTACGATATAATAATTAAGCTCAACATTTAATTCAATGGAAACTAGAACTGTCCAATCGGGACAAAATACCCCCCGCTGGGTTTTTCAGAAGTAAGTTTTTGTATAATAAAGATATGTATCAAACACGAATTATAAAATTTTTCTTCCAGTGACCTTGAACTTCCCCAAATGACCTTGGGTCAAGGTCATGACACACCCTTGGGTCATGGGCAATCTTTGAGTGAAATAAGAACCTACCAAGCTTATCCATAAAAGATATGTGTCAAACATGAATTTTGAAATTTTTCTCCCAGTGACCTTGAACTTCCCCAAATGACCTTGAGTCAAGGTCATGACACACCCTTGGGTCATGGGCAATCTTTGTGTGAAATGAAAACCTACCAAGTTTATCCATAAGAAAGATATAGACCGGACACGAATTATGAAATTTTTCTTCCAGTGACCTTGAACGTCCCCAAATGACCTTGGGTCAAGGTCATGACACACCCTTGGGTCATGGGCAATCTTTGTGTGAAATGAGAACCTACCAAGCTTATCCATAAAAGATATGTGTCAAACATGAATTTTGAAATTTTTCTCCCATTGACCTTGAACTTCCCCAAATGACCTTGGGTCAAGGTCATGACACACCCTTGGGTCATGGGCAATCTTTATGTGAAATGAAAACCTACCAAGTTTATCCATAAGAAAGATATAGACCGGACACGAATTATGAAATTTTTCTCCCAGTGACCTTGAACTTCCCCAAATGACCTTGGGTCAAGGTCATGACACACCCTTGGGTCATGGGCAATCTTTATGTGAAATGAAAACCTACCAAGTTTATCCATAAGAAAGATATAGACCGGACACGAATTATGAAATTTTTCTTCCAGTGACCTTGAACTTCCCCAAATGACCTTGGGTCAAGGTCATGACACACCCTTGGGTCATGGGCAATCTTTGTGTGAAATGAGAACCTACCAAACTTATCCATAAAAGATACAGTACCGACCAGACCCAACCTGACACAAAGCAGTCCCAGAGCAGTCCCGGGGACTGCTTTCTGGGACTGCTAAAGCAGTCCCACAGCAGTCCCACAGCGGTCCCAGAGCAGTCCCACAGCAGTCCCAGAGCGGTCCTAGCAGTCCCAGCGGTCCCAGAGAGCAGTCCCAGCAGTCCCAGAAAGCAGTCCCAGCAGTCCCAGAGGGCGGGGTTTATTTATTTAATGGGCGGAGCTAACTCAGAAATGAAATTCCCAATAAACAATGGAACTATAAAAGGCTGTATAATTTGATTCTGGGTAGTATGCCTGGAATCCTTACATGTGTGATTTATGAACAGTACATGCATAGAGACAAAAATGAAATAATATTAATTGAATGAAGAAGGCTTCACATGTGAAATTAAACTGAACATGAATATTACACCAGAGCAGTCCTAAATTAAATTAATTAAAATTTATTAATTAAAATAAATTACAATTATCTGGTATATTAATAATTCGATTTCTTTATTTTCTGTAATTGATACTGTTTCCCATATTTATTTTTTATACAGAAAATTAAACGTGAATTAATTATTTTACACCAGAATTAGCTTTAAATAGATCACCCGAATGGAACCCTCAGATTACTGGTATGTTCAAAATTAATTAATCCTGAAAGAAATTCATACACATTTAATTTATCAATTTAATTTTGCTTTACATAGATTGAAATAAGGATCATTGTTGACCAGCATGTTCAATGATGTTAAACGCTGATATGTATACCCAAATAACATACACTGATTTTCTGCCCAAAGGCGATTGAAACTGCGAGTGTTGATACCATTCTTATACACATTAATCGGCGGTGTAAACAGGAGCAATACAAAAAAGAATTAAATCACAATTCCCGGTATTTTCAAGTGTTTATTTTTGAAATTGATGTACTTTTTAATAACTTGTTTATAAATCAAAAACTACTGGTAATTCATTAATAATTTCCCCAGTGATTTTCCACATTGTTTATGTTACGGAAGAATTAATGGAAGCATTAATTAATTTAATTTTTTTATTTTATTTTATGGTCATTTAATAAAGTGTGATATTTTATATTTGAGGGTTAAAAACATGTACCATTTTTAATTAAAAATCGTTTATTTAACTGTAATAATTATTTTTAAATAGTACAAATGCAAATGTTTAGTATTTAATTTTACATTAAATACGCCCATAATAAAAAAGGCCTACATGTGGATATTTTTTTCTCATAAACATTATCTTATATTTAGGGAAAAAATTATTCTTCTCCTGACTTCCTTATTTAACAAGTTTATTTTTTAAAAGTTTATTCTAATTAAACTACATTTGTGTAAATATACAGTCTAAGTAAATATTAATTAACTATAATAATCTCTACTTATTAAAAGATTGTAAGAAATCCTTGCTTTTTAAACAGTTTAAACTCATCTCTGCTGCAAGTAAACAAAACAACAGGGGGCCTGCAAATTCAGAATACACAAAGGGGCGGAGCTATCATGTCACTCAGAACCTTTTTTCACACATGAGTGAACAAAGCAGTCCCAGAAAGCAGTCCCAGGGACAGCTGGGACTGCTGGGTCTGCTTTTTAGAGCAGTCCCAGAGCAGTCCCACAGCAGTCCCAGAGCAGTCCCACAGCGGTCCCATAGCAGTCCCAGAGCGGTCCCAAAGCAGTCCCGGGGACTGCTTACTGGGACTGCTTGGGTGTCAGGTTGGATCTGGTCGGTACTGTATGTGTCAAACATGAATTTTGAAATTTTTCTCCCAGTGACCTTGAACTTCCCCAAATGACCTTGGGTCAAGGTCATGACACACCCTTGGGTCATGGGCAATCTTTGTGTGAAATGAGAACCTACCAAGTTTATCCATAAGAAAGATATGGACTGGACACGAATTATGAAATTTTTCTTCCAGTGACCTTGAACTTCCCCAAATTACCTTGGGTCAAGGTCATGACACACCCTTAGGTTATGAGCAATCTTAATGTGGAGTAGTAGATTCTAATGTCCCTCTGTAAGAAAGATATGGACCGGACACGATTGCACAGACAGACGGACAGACGGACAGACAGACAGACGGACAGACGGACAGACGGACAAGGTGATTCCTATATACCCCCCCAAACTTCGTTTGCGGGGGGTATAATAACTGGCTATTTCAAAGCACAGTTATGTTGTCATTGAAGAAAACGACAACCACCCTACCATCAAATCCAGTCCTTCTCATACAAGTGCCCCTAACACCATTACCATGACCACTAGAAAGGTTTCCTTTTCCATTATCAATTCTGTACCTCCGTAGATGTGAATGTTTAAATGTCCAAGTAAACAGTCAACTGTAAAAGTCAGTGCTTCTCGTAAAAGTCCAATAGTAAAACAGATATATGTACCTCTGCATCTATGCCAATTTCATGACCTTAAAAGAATGTTTCACTTTTGCTTCTTTAGACAACCCTATCTATTATTATCTAGCAATTACACACCACAAGGCAAGATTTTACTTTATGTGAAGACTGAAATTCTTAATTTTTTTTCATTTCATAGATACAGACCAGAGATAATAAAATATTATTAGTTCCGATGAAATGTACCCTTTAGGTTTATGTCACAATCTATTTTGTCAGATGCATCCAATATTAACAATTCACGCCCTTGGTATAGGATTTGGTAAAAAAATCGGTTTGATTGGTCAATTCATTTTTTTCAAACTTGACGGTCAGAGAAATAGTCCATTGCAAGAGCAACCAAACAGGAATAAGAAGAAATTACCAGTCATAAAGCTTGCAGTTAGGAGGTGTGAACTATTTACTTCAAGCACATTTGTCATCATAGGTTGTCTTAAAATTCAAAATGACACACTTAACTAGAATTGGTAATTAAATAAGCTGACTAAAACACCATCAATAACACTAGTGAAATGAAATTACTGTTGAAACAGATGTCCAACAGTAAAAATAATACATGTACTTACTATATACAGGGTTATTTTTGCCCTGTTTTATTTTCGCCCTTTCACACTTGCAACCAATTTTGCCCCGTTTTAAATTCACCCAGTCACCGTTTTGTTTAAGAAAATATATTGAATATTTTGAATTCGCCCCTTTTTAAATTCGCCCAAACGATGTAAGGGCGAAAGGGGGCGAAAATAAAACGGGGGCGAATATTTCCCTGTATACAGTATATCAAAATGATATCAATTCCCCATGGGTTTCAAACATATTGTGAAACTAATAGATATAACAAATTTTGTTTATAACAAAGCAAAATCACCTCTCTTGGCTTGAATCAAAATTTCTGATCAGATATTTAATTAAATGAATCATAACTCTATATAATACATGTAAGTAAATGTATTATGATGTATAACAACATCTGTAAAACCAATACACACCTTCTAAATCTAATGACATTGCTGTCCTCTCATCTTCTGTTGACATGGGAAAATCTAAAATGAAATTAAACTTTAACATTATTACTTTAAATAAACTTTTGATTTAAATTTAACCTGTTGAAGATTTTTGTGGATGGAATTTTCTGATAACACATCATTCTAATGCAATTGTTTTGTAAAACACATTTTGATTGGCTAATGCACTGATGTTTGAAGCAGTAAAATGAGCTTTAACGAGAGTGAAAGCTTTCATTGTGACGTCATAATAGAGCGACACAAAAACACAATGCTCCGTGACGTAATTTATATAACAAAACTCAACAAAATAAGACGTAAAAAACAAACAAAATGCATGGATTGCATTAGAATGGGAAAAACTATCTTCAAATTTGGTATTTGCGACTGTTAATGCTGATTTAATGGTCACAAACATCCATTTTACCGGCTCCGCTTACGTGCTGCCAGTAAAACTCAGTTTGCGACCATTAAATTAGCATTAACAGTGGCAAATACCAAATTTGAAGATAGTTATTCCCTAATTCAAATTAACACTAAAGTACATGTATAATTACCTTTCCAAAACATAAATAATATTTTTTTTCTGACAATCATCTTGCTGCATTATCAAATCTGTATAGTCTTACATTTTGTAAATATAATTGATAAAAATTTCAATATTCATTTTTTTTCTCACCTTGATCAGCTTCTTCAGTAGCATCAGACCTGCAGAAAAAAAATCACTGGGTTTAATTTTTTAGATAAAGTTTTTTTTTTTTTTATCTCATGATTATCGATTTCTTCCTTGACTATCACTAATTGGATATATTTTTGATATCCCACAGTTGTGATGTCACAGTTAATTTTGCATAAAACTGATGAAGTTAAATATCAAAATGTGAATTCCTATAATATTAAAATCATGAACAAAAAATTGATAGTGATGGATAATAAATGGATTAACAGAGTGATCCATGATTTTCGGTCAATTAAACAAATATGATTTTAAGGCAATTTGTTATGGTTTTATTTCTCCTTGCCATGGCCTAGAAATAAAAAAAAAATACATGACATGTTGGATAATTTTAAATCATATCCAACCCAAATTATGGCTGATCCTTTATGTAGTTGATGAGAAGGGGATGATACCTATTTAATAGTAAATTTTGTACCTGGTTTGGCTTTAAAATGCTCTAATCCCTGTCACTACAAAACTATATAACAAAGTTATAATCTGGCCACAGGGTATCAGTCCTGCCTGACCAATACACTGTAGCAGGAGAGGAGAAAATTACAGCAAACCAGACCGGGATTTGAACCGGGGCCCCTTGAAAATCCGGTCAGGTACTCTACCAACTAAGCTATCTGGCCACCAGTGATCAAATCCAGCTGACCGCCATATTCCTCTCTCCTTAAAGATCTTTGACCCTCCAGAGACCCTAAACCAGGCTCATCCCTGGCGGGCCTTTCACCTGTCAGTTCCAGGGCATGACATGGATGGCACCAGCGGACCAGACCCTGATTTGAACCGAGGCCCCCCTGAATTTCCGGTCAGACAGGTGCTCTACCCACTAAGCTATCTGGCCAATGGCGATGGAACCCTGCTGATCACCACAACACAATATACATGTTGATGTACATATCTATTATCAGAGACATGCATAAATAACATTAGATAGAATGTTCTATCGTTAAAATGATTTATTGTCCTACAGACCCATTTAACCATACACTCCTGTTGTATTCTTCACAATCATTTAGGAGAAGATCCGCTCCGATTTAATACACTGCAAGGATATGGGACGTATTCTAACTGTGGTGAGGGCTTGTCTCCAGATAGGAGACACAGTTAGATTTAATATTCTCACTTAAACAGGTCCAGCACAATACCCTGATAAAGGTATATAGCTTAATAAAGATATATATAGCTTGATTAAGGTATTACAAATACCTTGATCAAGGTATTTTATGGAATGAAAATACAAAAAAAATTCTTAAAAAATTAAATTTAATAGGTGAAATATGAGTTGTGCTCAGTGTGTTCACTTGTGCATGAAAAGTATTTGTGTGTCAAAAAGACAGCATAAAAGTATGTCTCCTTATGCGACATGCTTTTATACTGATTCCTTCGTGTTTGAGTATTTTACTTGCATGAATAAATTTATTGACAACAACTCAGAACTTGGCTTTCAGTATTAATTTTATTTTTTTAAGTGTTTTTTTTTTGTATTTTCATTACATAAAATATCTTGATCAAGGCATTTGTAATACTTGATAAAGCTTTATAGCTATAAAGCTTTATCAAGGTATATTCCTTTATCAGGGTATTGTGCTGGAGCTGTTTAAATAATACAAATTCCTATACTCAGACTATCTTTCTTTGGGGGGGGGGGGGTGTCACATTCCACTCCAGCTAGACTCAGTGACAGTTTAGTTCACTTATTCAATCTTGTTAGAAGCTTTAAAGCTGACCTATATGATTTATGTACCTCAGAAGCGGACACTTATCCCCGCAGAACCATTCGTGAACTTCCAACAGGTGCTCGAAAATTTTGTTATCTGTCGTCCAATGAAATCTCAATCTGGAGATCAAATTCCTCCAGGCAATGGCCGCCTCCCCCGTCAGAATGTTCCTGTATTCATTCATCTTTCTTAGAGTAATGGAATTTTCGCCAGGAAGAGTCGCAAAGTATCAAATATTGAAGTTTAACTATTGTTGTTTACATTTTTTTGTTTTCGGCCATGTTTTGAGCAGAATTTCGATCGGGTTCGGGATGCAAAGGTTGAGACCGGCGCGTCGATTTACCCAAATGGACCCAAATGGAGACACAAATGGACCCAAATGGATTAAATTTGAATTATCGTATTTTATTACTTAATTAAAATGATGAAAATAAATGATCTTACAGTTACAAATGGAGTTTTATATTTATTATTAATCTCTAATATTGTATTTTGAGACATGAAGTGAAATTGATGCAAATCACCAAAACGGCCATAAAATATATATTAATCATTTAGAAGTACAATGTATTTACCTTCTATAGATTTTTAACACTTTTACAATTTTCAGTGATCAAAATCTGTCATATATATCCAAAGAAAATTCATTGATATTACAGTATGGTACGTAGATAACGGATAGTAATATTATCCGAATCAATCTAATATGAAATAAATGATTCTGAAAGTTTTAATGCTGACATTTGTAAAGCGAAGAGGATTATGAATTAAAATTGTCAAGTTCATTTATATTTAATTGAGTTACATACATTGTAGGTGGTGCCTAAAAATAAATTATTTTGGGGGGAAAAGGAAAAAAAAATTAAAACCAACGAACCATTAACAAAGAATAATTACCATTACATAAACCCTTCCACCAAGGAGGTACATGTGGGTACATCGATATAAAATTACACTTTCTGCATTGAGACAATGTGAAAGACATATATATATATATATATATATATATATATATATATATATATATATATATATATATATATATATATATATATATATATATAACTCTCAACTATTTTCCTTTTTTTTTCGTATTTATTCAAAATAGTGAAAATATTTGTGTGCAACATCTGCTTTTGTTAAACATGTGGTTTATGCTGGCCATACGAAGGTAAAAGCAAAATTAGTTTAGTCAGTTAATTTCTATTTCTCTCTTTGTTCATAGTTTCTGAGGGAGATTATTTTCTGAACTTCACTGTTTATTTTTTTTTGGTTGAGAAATTTACTCCACTGTTGAAAATTTTCTTTAAAATTTTATGAAGCTCCAACAAACATTATTTGATTGATTAACAAATCTAAGCAAATACTTATTATAAAAGATTCATTTTGATACCTCTTTATTTTAGGAAAGGTCTTATCCTTGAAAGGTTGAAAAATATCAAATTTTATTTCAAAACCAAGCCATTTGAATAAAGTTTATCTACCTTCCATGTATGTTAAAAACAGCAACACAATTTTAACATTTATGCTGTTTTTATTGAAATAATAAAGAGAAATATCACATCACATGTCTGAGTCCTGTGTTCATTCCGTGGAATTACTCTAGCCGATGTGTATCACGTCGGAACATGGAAAATGTACTGAAAAGATATTCAAATTTATTTATATACCTATTATTCCTGTAAAACAATTTACTTATATACATAAACATGCAGCAGACATATTGAATCTTCGTTAAAGAAGATTACTACAGACAAATGGGTTTTTTTACTTAAGCTTGAAAATAATTTTCCAGTGAAAAGTTTAAGAAGAAAATTTTAATTTGATAGTTTTGAAAAATCAGATCAAACAGAAATTTAAATTTTATGGAAGAAACAAACTATGAAAAAAAACATAGGGAGTTACTAAAGGAGCGAATCTTGAAGAATTAGAAGTGTATATAAAATTATATTCCAATAGGAGTGGATCTTGAATAGATGCAAACGTAACTGCGGAAATGGACAAGTCTCATTTAAGGCCTATCTGTGGTCCCCGGTTACTCGTCAAATTTCAAACATTTATCAAAGGCTTTAAAAATTAAATTTTATTAATAACTAATGTCTTTATTATTTGAATCTTCATCTAAAAATGTTAAATAATAGATATACACAGCATAAGAAGCCGTTTTTCGAAGTCAGGGTCCTTTGATTTTCATGAATATCAAAAGAATTAATCACTGACAGGGACACACTTTCAAGCTTTCGTAAACATTGAGCACAGCTTTGTTCAGAGTCGAGTTTGATATATAATGTGTATATTATATGTGTAAAGGTTGAGTAAAAATATCTTTGTTGAACAACCTTGTGCTCTATGTTTTTTAATTAAAAGTATTGTGATTTTGAACCTCGTCGCTGTCTTCATTTACATGCTATTAACCTCTTTATGACCTGTTTCGAATTACAACAAGCCACGTGGATTTGTGTGGTTACAGGTAAATGCCCACAGTAAACGTGCTAGCAAGCACTCAGCTGAAATGTACTCAGTCGATCATGTATCGGTCAGCATATGGACTTGTTTCGTTAGTCTTGTTATAGTGGTTCATTCACATTGCTAGAGTTTCGTGAATAGAAAATTGTATTTATATAATAGTGTTGCATTATGCATGTACTATCAGGCGCGGATCCAGGATTTGGAGTTAGGGGGGGCGCCAAAATTAGGCAAGGGGTCTGGGGGCCGCCGTGAGGCCCCCAGTGGGTCCAGGGCAAAGCCCTGGTGGGGGCCCAGGGGGCGAAGCCCCCGGAAGCTCCTGGATTCTAGAGATTTTGAAGGGTTAAAATGAGGTCTACCAAAGCCCTGGTGGGGGCCCAGGGGGCGAAGCCCCCGGAAGCTCTTTGATTCTAGAGATTTTGAAGGGTAAAAATGAGTTCTACCAAGTAGACATATTTGATTTACGCTAACTTTGACAATTTTAGGGGGGGCGCGCGCCGGGTGCGCCCCCCCTTAAATCCGCCACTGACTATGCCTAAATAGTAGGCAGGGTTTGACACATGGTGCACGAGCCGGAGGCGAGTGCACTATGTGTCAAACCCTGCCTACTATTTAGGCATAGTACATGCATAATGCAACACTATTGTTATTATTACATGTATTATGCTGATTGTTGTAATTTTTTATGCGGCAATCCATTTGACTTTTTCCTGATAATATTCGGTGTTAACAAAGCGCACTTGCAAGAACTCATTCAAAATCTTCATGCTAAAATCGGTTGCATGCTTAGTTATTTTGGTTACTAGTATTTTCTATAAATAAGTCGGGATTTTCTGTCCCAAAGCAACTCATCTTTATTTTCTGTTTTGTTAGTAAGACTTATTTGTTTGCAGACGTCGATTCTCATTGATAATTTTCTTTTAACATCCTTCAGTCAAGCGTCATATAAAAAAGCGTTTTAATGACCCTATGAAATCAGTTCATCTAATGATCTGTATGTAATTAGTTTGAAAGTTTGTTGTACACATTAATCTAAAGTTCCTTAGAATAAAACAACTGTTTTCAAATAATATTTGTCTATTTTCTCCTTCTTGTGTCAATTGTATAAATTAAGTTTATATATTTAATAAAATTCTACCAATTAGTGATTGTCTCTGTGGCGTAATCGATAAGGCATCGGACTGACAATCTCATGGTCGTGAGTTCGATCCATGGCGTGCGCACTGAAGAAGTAAATAAATCCGTGCACTATTTCGGCATAGTATGTTTACGCTATATAAATTCTTAGATCACTATGCGAGAGTAGTAGGGTATGGGTTATATAGAGACAAACTGACAGGAAGCATAATAATTGTTGTTGATTGTGAATCCTGAACATATAATTCGTCTTTGAAAGGAAAAATATTATATGTCACGGATATTCTTTTTGTAGTAACTAATCTAAATGCCTCCTCCCATTTACATGTAACAGAAAACCGTAGTCTGATGGAGGGGAAAAGTTCCGGCATTTTTTAGCGCGATGGGTGTTAAAAATTGGCTTGTATTTTTTGATATGTTTAATAATTCATTATGAAAGCACGATGATTTTATTAGAAATACTTTGTTATACACAATGAAATCAAACAAAATACCCATTGCGACTATCTATCCAGTAAACCAAGGGTGAAAAAAGGGACCACGCTACTATACTTATAAGTGGAATACTCCTTTCAAAAAGAATCAATGGAGCGGATTCATGCAGGGTTATTAAAGATGTCAATACTTACAGAAAAACAATGGATTGGATAATACAAATACATGTAAAATAGCAAAGGGGCGGATCAATGAAACACACAAAGTTACATAGGAGCGGATCAATGTTAAAATACATACAGAATTCTGAACGAGCGGATCAATGATTTTCATCCAATCATGCAAATTCCAAGCTTTGTCAATGAGCTTCACGACGTTATTGATGGCGTACAGCGGTGTGCCGGATACTCCACCTGAAATGAGATGCCATTTTTTTTATCACAATATAATAAATAAGTAATAATTAGAAAGAATAAATATTTTACACGATACATACGCGTGCATGCGTATTTCCAGTCCATACGGACGTGCATGTCCACCCAGGGGTCAGCTATCTTCTGAAGAAAGGTAGTTTTCTGTAGACCCATCTGGGCGGCTATATCGCCAAGCATGCTATAGTATAGAATCAAACAATCATGTATGCATTTACTGACTTAAAGAAAGGTATGGTATATAAAACACGAAAGAATCATGTTATAGATTATTGCATGCCTATCGCAATTGTCAATATCCACTTGGAATTTAAAAGTTAGGGAACTTCGATTGAGAAAACCCAGCAACTAACTCCTCCAGTCTATGAAATCTTTTTTTCTCGATTTGCTAGCCTTCATGAAATTATTTTATTATTTCTACATTAAAGTGTATATTACATACAGATGATAGAATCCACTCCTTAGTAAGAAATCCCCCCGAATATCACTGTTCTAATGAAACTTTTATCAATAATGGGGATAATCTCTCTATTAATTAATGTGATCAATATTGAAAAGCAGTACTAATAAGAAATTTGCAACTGCATGGATATGACAAGGATACATTAATAGTATGTACGTATACTTGTTTGCTTTTACTTTTTAAAGCTGATTAATTCCCTAGTGAGAGAGATAACTCTATAATAATTGATCATCTATATATAGTATATGCTATACTTAATTAATTTGCATCTTCATAGGTTTAATTTCGTACCATATTCCCAGAATGTTATACACAAGATTTACGTGTTTTCCTCTTTATCCTTATCTTGTGTAAGGAAGTTGATCATTACAGGAAAACAAGCAGAGTACATGTACATCTCGCGGTAAGATACATATGTAAACTTACTTGGTAACGTCCGCCTCTGATCGCGTGTGAGTTGCCGGGTTGGAGAGTGAGTAGATGTTATCGTACACACGCTTAGCCCAGTCGTACACACCATTGGTAGAGGTCGACATCTGGTTAATTACCTCTGTTCCCTAGTAATTGTTAACAAGTTAAAATTAATTAACTTCTAAAATTATGATAATTGAAAAAAGACGATGAAATGAAAAAAAAACTGTTTCACTCATAGAAGAACTTCTAAGGTCTAATACTTTAATTCAATTGTTCTTATGAACTGTTACTTTTTTTTTCGCGAAAACTTTATTTTCGTGTAATAAGTTTGCTCGCGAAAATTTCATTGTGTTTTCAGAAAGATTTAGGAAAATGTCTGAATATCTCGCGAAAAAAAATCCCGCCAAAATTTAGTGATCGGTAAATCATAATTGTGAAATGAATATATCAAAAATGTAGAAAAAGAAGTTAAAAAATATTACCATTGATACAAGAAATGAATTCCTGTGGTAAGGCAATGGGAACATATGAAGACGGAGCGTAAGAACATCCGGTCCGTAGTGATTAGCCACCTGTAACAGCGTAGGAAAAGCTTGCTTACTGTCGGGACACAGCGGATCAAAGAAGGCGTCGATTGTCACAGCAGTGAGGTTAGTTCCTGTTCCATAGGCGTATACATACCCCAGGGTGCGCGGAGGAATAGGAACTTCCTGCGCATGGGCAAATGCCAAAATAAAAACAAATACAAAGAAGCTGATGATAGCCATGATAGTGTAGGTTTTAAGTGACTTCGGACTTACGACTTGCGACCTTTTGTAAAACGCAGCCCAGAGTCGTTGACGATCTTTATTTTAGAAGGGAAAACATCGACGTCCTATTTCTCGTGGTTTCCCAATAGGCGAAGATCCTGGATCCTTAAACATGTTAAAATTGGCGATTTATGTAAACATCGTTGGGTGATAACAACTATTTATATAAGGTAAATTAATGTATGCTGCTTAGTGGCTACAAAATTATTTATCAAAAATTGCTATTTTCAGCTGACATTCTTTAAAATATATTCAGATAATGGGTATTTAACCAGGTTCTATATTTAAACAGTGAAGATTGCCATATTCCCGAGCTATAAACATTTTCAACAACGTTATTTTTTGTCAAAATATGAAATATGGTATGGTACATTTACTTCAGGAGGAATTTTTCAAAGCAAATATTTCAATTTCCATATTAAGGCGATCAGCAAAAGTGATGTACAACAAACACCTGTATGTGTATATCACTTCCACAATTTTTAAAACAGTTTTAATTATCAGTGATGCTTAAGCATTCCGAATTACACACAACTGTTAAATGGAACAAGATTGTAAACATTTACTTTGTAAATTGGGATTATCCCCTTTATTACAGCTTTTTGCACAAAGAATTTTTTTTCAACATTCAAAACGAAATAATAACCATATAACATACTTACTGAAAGAATGGTAAGGGTATCAGAAAAAATCTTTCAAACTGCATCATGATAGGCAGACCTAATCTGCAACAGGTCTTCGTACGTCAGCTCCAGCATTAGGCGACTTCTCCACTGAACAGTTTGGTATATAATGCCCTACACAGGAGAAGCAGAAGTATCCATCCCGGGTCTGTGTTCAAGGTTTTAAGATCTCTGGATCTATAAGTTCTTGTAGATGATTCAATTGCCTCAAAAATTCTGAACAGCAAATATGGTCGTTTAAATAAACAACTTTAGACGTAAATGATATCTTTGTTAGGCACACGAATAGGAGGGCATTTTAGAGAGCTACAATGATTCCTTCGTTGAATCAGGTAATGTTTGAGAGGCAAGTAATGCATTTGAAACAATGTTTTGATGTGATTTGTATAGGAATGTGCATTCCATTGATGTGCATATTTAGAGATTTAACAGTTTTTGACAACACAAAATGGTGATATAACAATAATAAAGCTTTATTGTATCTATGAAAAATATAAAAACGGTCACCAATAATTCAATTACCTCTATCAATTATTAACAAAAGCTTGATGTTTTAATTATCTAAAACAAACTGGAAAGCGTTTACTAAAACCTTTTCTGCTTAATTACTTGTAAGTAAAATGGATAATTTATTATTATACAACATGTTTGTACCAGAATTGTCTGAAGTTACCGGGCAACTTACACATTGTTATATTTTCTTCTAATACGCCTCTTTAATTGAGACGACATCATTATAATCCCGGGCAACTGTTTCTCTATCGACGCAAGCAGATGGAGGTAAACGATTTCCTGTTAACTTTGTTCGCCTTGTCATTTCAAGAAGAGATATGCCATATCTGTCTAGAACAGGATGGCAGTCTTCACTGTTGAAAGCAATGGTGTCCTTTGTTTGGGGCAATCGGATGTTGACGTTTGCTCCAGCATCAAGTAATAATCTTACTTTTTCAGACACCTCAACTGAATAGATAGATATTAAGGTAAAAAGGAGAGGTTTTACACATATATAAAAATCATCGTCATCATCATCACCTGCATCATCGTCTGCATATTGGGCATCATGGTCATCATCAAAACAAATCTGTACGTACTGGTTTACATTAAAACCTAAAGACAGCTTTTGATTAAGAAATTCACATCCATCTTCGGACACAGTGTGATATGATTCTGACGATGTATTTAAGACCCATGTTTTGTTACTTTCTGTAATGATATCGTCTTTATCATCAGCTTTCACATCAACCTGTCGGATCTGAACAATAACATCAAAAAGATGTCTGTTCAGTTTAAGCTGTTTCTAGGAAAAGCTTAAATAATTTTTTCCTGTTTCGTAAAAGAGCAAGGTAAATTGGTGACTCGCCATACTTATTACATATTGTTACATCAACTTTACATTGAATTAATTGCTGAAACGTAGAAAATATTCTTTCAGTTGGTTCCCGGTCCTGAATTGTGTTTCTAAAGATGGGTCGGACTCTACTTTCATTTTCTCAACTTCGCGAGTGAATCGTATTCCTCGAAACAGAGCTGTCAGTGGTGTTTCTGTCCCCTTTTGTAAATTTAATTAAATCTTGTACCATATTGAAATGTCCTGATTTACAAGCAAGTATAAATGGTATCGAATGACAGTCAGAATAAGTTTCAATTAAATTGACGTCAGCCCCAAAATGAATCGGTTCTTTTGCTACCTCGAGCTCTCGATGACCAAAGAAACAAGCAAGTAGTAAAGGGGATAAGTAGTCTGTCCGTGGCTTGTAATCCGGCCCAGCTTCTAAAAGTTCTTTGACCACCTTTGACAGGCAACTGACAAAGGTGTTTCGATACCATCTTGCATATTTATGTCACATCCAGCATCTAACAATATCTCAATGATATTTGTATGGCCATATATACTAGCTTCATGTACCATAAGCGGGTTAAGATACATATCTAACTTTAAATCTGTCCCATATTTCAATTACTCATTCACAAGTTCGTCACTACCTGACTTACAATGGATTATAAAGACAAACGTGTTACATTATCGATACCAAGTAGTGCATATTAGATTATCAAAGTACGAAAAAGGTGCGTCGACCCAGATTTTCAAAAAAAAAAGGAAAGAGTGGTACAGCCTGTGATCAATTGCATTTCCAGGGAAGGGGGATGTTGCGACCCCTCAGTCTGAGCACCCTCATCTTTTTTCCTTCAGTAAGGGAAACGGTTTCTCTGAATTAACATGTTTGTTCATTCAAATAGTTTTTCTTTGTCATGTGTTTGTCTTAGACTATGCCTGACAAATGGCGCGCTTCACTTTCAAATGAATGACACTGAAATTTATTTAAATTTTAAATAATAAAACACGTATTTGAGAAAGACAACTTTATATAATATGCAGGTGATACTAGGTCAACAACTCATAAAAATTCACATGTATAGTGTTAAATATATTCATACGACCGTCATCTGCTGTCTAGCAATGTAAAAATTTAAACAAAACACACTTTACTTTCACTTCATTATAATTGAGATCAATGCCTCATGTTTAAACAGAATATCGCCGTATACGTTTTTTCAGGTTCAATAAAACATCCTTGTATTCTAAAACACTTTCATCGGTGTATATATCCATCATAAATGATGTACTTTCGCATAAAATTCTTCTACGTGTCATTTCTAGAACAGATATGCCACATCTGTCTAAAACAGGATTACAGTCCTCTGTGTTGAAAGCCATGACATCCATTGTCTGTCGCACTCTTATATTGACGTCTGCTTCCGCGTCAAGAAGAAGTTCCACCTTTTGGACCATTTCATACGCAGATGAATAAATTATTCTATACAATAAAGGTTTACATTCTAAATCCTCTTCCGACTTGCAATCAGCATAAATTTGGATGTTCTGATTTACATTGAGGCCTAAAGTCAACATATGATTCAACAATTCACATTCACCAAAAACAGTTTTGTATGATTCTCCCGAATCATATAATGGCCATATTCTTTTATTTACAGTAACTACGTCGTCTTTATCATCAAGCTTCACGTCCGCATGTCTTAAGTGAACAAGGACATCAAAAAAGTGTTCATTCACTATGGTGTTTGCATTTTCCACATTTAAGAGAAGTTTTAAAATGTCTTTTCGGTTTTTTAAAAGAGCTATGTAGATTGGCGACTCACCGTACTTATTACACATTGTAACATCAGGTTTGCTTTGCATTAATTGGCTAAATATAGATAACCCGTTTCCTTCTGTTTGTACGTCTATCACTTGCAGCTTATCCTCTAGCGATGTATCTGATTCCACTTTTTCTATCTTAAAACCGGGTATTTCATCTAAATATGTGAATGCAGCTGTTAGTGGTGTTCCTACATTGTCCTTCAAATTCACGTCTGCTCCAGACAATCAGCTCTTGCAGCAATTCGACGTGTCCTGATTCGCAGGTGACAGTAAGAGGAGCTGAATGGTCGACAGAATTAAGATTATTTAAATTTACGTCAGCTCCAAATTTGATCAGCTCTCGCACAACTTCAAGATCCCCGTATTTACATGCAGCAACTAGGGGTGAGGTGTAGTCGTCCTGCGCATTGCAATCTGCACCAGCTGCTAAAAGTTCCTTTACCAAATTTAAATGTCCCACTTTACAGGCATGTATGAGTAATTCATTGCATTTGTTATTACAGGTAATGCCAGAAAATCTCGATAAAAGCTCTTTAATCAAATCTACATGACCGTTAGAACAAGCCACTTGAAGTGCACGGTGTCCATCCTCGGTATCAATATCAAGACCTGCCTCCAATAACTCTTTAATTACGTTAAGATGGCAGCCTTCAGCCGCGGCTGATAAAACATGGTCTTCATTTACTTTGGCACCCCATTTCAACAATGTCTGAACTACTTTTAAATTGCCTTCCGAACTTGCTTCGATCAATGGTGTAGTAGAAAGAGAAAAACAAGGTGTCCAGTATGCTGGTAAATTTACTTCAGCGCCTTCTCTGAGTAAATATTCTACGACATTTACATGTCCATTTTGACAGGCAACAGACAAAGGCGTTGATTGTCTATGCTGCATGTTTACATTGCACCCAACATTTAACAGCGTCTCAACGATACTTGTGTAACCATACTTACACGCAACTATGAGCGGTTTGAATAACGCATTTTCTGGATTGATATCAGCACCGGCCTGCAATATTTCATTTACTGTATTAGGACATCCCGACCGACATGCAGATGTCAACGGAGTATTGCTGATTCCACAGAGAATATTTGGATCCGCTCCTTGCTGAAGCAGGTATTTCACAATGATGTAAGCTCCATGTTCACATAACGCTGTCAGTGGTGTGTGCCATTTTCCATTGGCATTTATATTAGCTCCTGTTTCCAATAGAGTATCTAACAAATCTTTCATGATCAAACTACATACCGTTTTAGGAAGATTCCAACGAGGATCGAAAGAAATTGATCCACCAATTTTCATCAAGAGCAATTTCTCTGTAGCCTTCATTACATGCAGTAACTAATGGTGGATCACCAAGGCTATTAATTTTATTAATATCAGCCCCAGCGTGAAGTAACTCTTTCACCACATTGATGTGTAGGGTAGAACAGGCAGCAGTAATAGCAGTGTCCATTCCGCCTCGATATTCTGTGTATTCAGGTGACATATCCAATATATCCTTACTCATATATTTCATCAAAATCTTTACAGTCTCGAGATCCCCACTATAACAGCCGAGCACTAATAGCCGATTTTGTTCTCTTAGGAACCGAGGACAACAAATGTGTTTTTCAGAATCGACAGACTGTATCTGAAAATTGGAAAGAAGGTTTGAAGATTCACTGATAATTTTATGTTGAATTTGTTGCTCTTTAATTGCAGCCATGCTCGTTGGTGACTGATGCTTTTCTGAGCAGGTACATAAATGTTTGAATAATTTTATCTCTGCTTCGTTATTTTGCTTGGTTTTATTTTCAATAAATTTTAAAATTTGCTGATGACCGTAGAATATCACCCAGCTGATAACCCGAATATTATGAGTTTTGTCCTCATCAACTAAGAGCCTTTGTCGTCTTCTCTCCACATCTTCTTTTCCATCTTTCTGTGTTTCCTTTATAACGCTCCTCCCCTTGCGAAAAATTTCCCTTACATCTGTCTGAATCGATAGAAACAATGAATCTATCTGTTGATAAGTCTTTTCTTTCATAACGTCAATGAAGGCTTTACATACATCAGGATGTTTTAAGTGGCCCCCCATGAAAACATCATAGAGCTTCATCTCCTCCACATCTCGATATAACCTCTTGGCTAACATTGGGTACAGTTCACAGGGTAAATGTATTTAAAGGTCTTCATTCAAAACTCCGGGTGTATGCCCATGAGTTCCACTCTCAATGTGCTTTTTCGTTTTTACGAAATTAGCAATAAAATCACTGTTCATGAACTTTACTATTTCTTTCGGATATTTCTTGCCATAATGGCAAGCAGTTAATTCAAATAAACAGTCATGAAGAAATGTAAACTTGTCACCATTTCGTCTGGTATACGTTCCTTCCAATACTGCAAGGGCCTTGGAAAATTTAAATGTATCCGTACAACTCTCCACTTCGCAATTCTCCAAAACATTTCTTTTAATTTTACTGAAAATGACATCATTCTTTTTCAAAATATTCCGTGAAAGTATTTTATTGTTAAACATACATAATATTAATGTTGCATAATGAAGTTTATTTTTTCTCTTTTTTGCATTTTTTAATTCCTAAACATGTTTAGTTTCTAAACACGTATGGGAAAGTGTTTAGAAAAGGTGAAAAAAACACTTTCTGCATACATTCTTCCAAAATTTTACATCTTTAGAAATAAAGCATGCACAAAAGAAGGAAACATTTGAGATGTTTCTTTTAAACACATTCAGATTATGTGCATTTCTGAAATTAAACATATCTAGATTTAACATATTAAAACAAGTGTACTGCAGAAAAACTTTAAATACTTTTAAATTTTGGCACAAAGAGCATGTTACTTAATTAATACATATAATGTTATTGTCAAAATTTTCAAAATATTAACCGATATAAATTATTCATTGTACCACAGTTTTAGATATGTCATCAGAGTTTTTTGTGTGATGTTCTTATTACACAAATTTAATCTTTTGATCTCTATAAGTTCAATCAGCATGGCATACATTTTATAACGGAGGGATGAGCAACAAAAATAAAATAAGCTTGCAATTTTATATAAAAAATTCCTTTAATCTTTTTAATAATGGTTTATAAAAGATATTTCAGTTAAAATTATAAAATATTTATTTTATATATTTTGTATGTTATTAATTACAGTTTCTTCTTCCAGAAGCTTCAGTCAGCTATATGTCAAACTTGACCCGAACTTTCAGCAGTCCTCAAGCACACCAACAAACATGTTAATATAGGACTCTTTTCGTACTTTTTCCATCATAGAAGAAAAACTATGAGTCTCAACGTATAACTTGTCATTCTCTCGCCATCTTTTGATTTCATTTTCATGGATAACTGAAAAAAAGTTTATACTTTTGTAAACAATGACAATTTACTTTTTAGGTTTTATATTCTTGGAATCTCACATAACCTGTGGAAACAACTCAATTTAAAGTTTTCCCATTGAAAGATGACAATTTTTCAAGTTGCATTGAAACTATATTTTTAAAAAATAGTTATCTTAAATTACATTTTCTCATTTAAATTACAAACAAGTCAAAGCTATGCTGATTAATTCTATAGCATATTCTTTGAATACGGCGATTTACATACCTCTCACATATATTCAGTAAAAAGATGCCATTCAAATGATTTTCAATATTTCTTTTGAGTTACATCATCTACAAACGAGTCAAAGATGGTTAACAAATTCGGAATCTTTTGGACGTTTTATGCATTTGCCAAATAAATCTAACATTCTACTTAACAAGTTAATCTTTTAATAAAAACATGTTAAGACATAAGTGTTAGCAATTTTTAACACAGAAAGGAAGTGTGTATCCGTGAACACAATTTATTTATTTTGCTGAATTCTTTAATTTTTATCGAGGCTGGAAAGTGATAAAGTTATTATTGTTTTGTGAAGCTTAGTTTATAGACACAAAGGTAAAGAAACAAGGGGGTGGGGTTTGACCTAGATGTAAGTATTTCTGCAAATATATTCATATATGACCTTTACTGGAGAGGGTGATCAGAATGTTGGGGTCGATCACTTTATTTTCCTTACTCAAAAATGAAGAAGATTGCATGTATGAACTGATTTCAACAAGAGAATTTTTGGCAATTTGGCAAAGAAAATACTCTGGGAGTTGAAAGGAATATATGAAATATCTCAAAGTGTATGTTGTGTAAAGAGTCCAGAGAGTTTGGAACGCATGTGAAGTAGCTTGGTCTTTTGGGTCTTCTTTGTCAAGATATGTTAGGTTAGTAACCATACACATCAGAATTTTTTAAACACAAATAGTGGATTTATTCGTTATTTTTAGTGTAAATTCCTGCTTCTGTTTCTGGAATTTGTAAGATTGGCTGAATTGACCAATCAGAAATTAGACTCTATCTTTGGTTGTGCTTAGATGTATATATAAAAAAATTCCCTTGTCATTGTTTAGAACAATCAGATAATGACTCGGGCTTTTCCGTCAGCAAAAAAACCCCCAGAATTTGAAATATTATAAATATGAAGTTATCTTTAAAGTGTAAGTTACACAATGAATAAACAGTTATTTCATGCTACAACACGATACAACGAAATTGTTATCGTACGGTCTATCTGTAGAAGTTTTTCACAGTTTTCCCAATTTTAATGCACGAATGGCGGCCGAGCATGCGTATTCAAGGAATTTTTTTTAAGTTTTGTGTGCTCGAGTGTGTGCAATTATGATTGACATCAAAATATTAAAAAAAAAACATTTTGCTATGTTTTTTTTTAATTCTTAAGACATGATGATATTAAACTGAAGGCTACGTTATTTAAACTTATCTTAAAAAAATGAATAAGTTCCTTGAAAAAATATAGTGAAGTGTACGTAATATGAGTAAATAAATCGTACTTTCCAGATAAACGACCATGTCCCTCGTTGTCTGGTCCTCTGCTGCCTGTCTTAGTAATTCCTGTCTGTAATAAAGATCATTTATAGGATCCATTGTCTCGTGACGTAGGAAATCAACCTCGTTTTCATATCGATTGTTGTTTCCGAGAAAGGAATCCAAAACCATGACAGCTGACCTGACACCTGACCAGATACGATAGAAATCAACATTAGAGAGGGAAGGACTCGAGGAGTGAACGCAGTCGTTACGACCAATTCGAATTCTCTCGATACTGGCAGATACTGACGCGTCATTTGGTTCAGGATCATTGCCCCAGCCTTTTGAGTGGGGCGGTATGCTACATATGTTCCGTAACAGGGTATACAGCAGCGTTATATCCATATCGTTGTAATTTCCCGTATAATTTCCCTGTTGAGGAAGGATTAAGGCTCTTTGCGCTGCAGACAAACGCGGCAAATTTAGTATATTTTGCCTGAGCACGTGGGTAAATGTTGATGGTGGTATGTAATGACGTAGAACATCCCGTAGTTCGTCTGTACATGGACCCAAAAGCAGACGACATGCTCTATTGGCGTTTGTTGTCTCTTCTGTGGAAGAATAAGGAGAGGTAGCCATTTCTTTATAGACTTACTCTACAAAGAAGAATCAAAAAAGAGAAAATTAGACAAGTATTGTTGTGCAATATGTAGGGAATATTTACATCATCATTCATTTTCAATAAATGAAATTGATTATAGTGTTCGGTTTTGGCATGTCATTAACGCTTAAGAATCTTTTGGAATTAAGTAAACTAAAAGCCTTTTGAATGAATGTTCAAAAGAATTGATGTCCATGCATCTCCTTATATCTACATCCACTAGTAGTCCCTCCTTTATTTTTTAAGGAAACCAATTCGTTAATCACTGCGTGAACTACACTAGGCATGTCACCTGTACAGATTTCTTGATCAATGGCTGATCCATCCATGAAACGAACAAAGACATTCACATCATTAATACAATAATTAATCTTTTTAATCCTACTTTAAATGATTATTTAAACAGATATAAATATAAACAAAAAAATGTCTTTCTTTGGTTGTTAGTACGGGATGAATGTCGCAGCTATTGTAGAAAAAATTTACATAACCCGCTAACGCGGGTTATGTATTTTTTCTGCAACAGCTGCGACATTCATTCCCGTACTAACAACCAAAGAAAGCATTCTATTGTTTAAATAATGAAGTTTAATAAAAAGCTACTGAACTTGTTTTTTTGCTTGTTTGTTGTTTAACGTCACTCCCTTCCCGAGAGAGAGAGAGAGAGAGAGAGAGAGAGAGAGTCCATTTAAAATTCTTTAAAA